CTGAGTTCTACATGGAGAGGTCCTCTAACTGTCGTCGACTTGCTGGCACTGCTATGGCATATCTGTTCGAAGGTATACTCCTACCGAATGATTACGGTGGGAAACTACGTGTTTCGGACGACGGTAACTCTATAGAGAATGGTCCGGAGCATTCTAAGCTGGTCTATGCTTCTCTCAAGAACTTGGTACCGGCAAGAGCCTTACAATCTCTCATCTATGACCACTATGAAAAGGGTACTAGAGTTTATCAGGATACCAACGGTGACCTTGTGACCATGCCTGCTAGTACTGATGGCACTGATCAGTCTAAAATCACCCTACGCCGAGCCAAACAGCTAGTTGCTGGTAAGTTCTCATCTAGCTCTAATGACCTCATTCGGGAAGATTGTCCACCACTTCCGCATAGTGAAGAACTCCCACTGTCTCCGAGGTCTAATGGTTCGGCCGGTTCTATCGATTGTCAGGATTCAACAGCAGTCGAAGCCTCTAGTTCGGTGCAGCCGCCAGAAGTTCTAGATAGTGGAGGGACCAGTTCAACACCTTCCAGAGCCGTAAGTTCTACTCCTGATGTTACATCATCCACACCAGGGGGACGTATAAACCTACTTTGAGATTCGGTGTCTCTGTTCGTAGTGATGTTCATCTACGACAAGGTTGGTTGGTGATCTCTACGGCTCCTACCTATCAAGGGCTTGCTTCTGTTGTTGAAGACGCTAACGACTCTGACACGGTTGTCATATGTCCTCTCCGTCTTCAACCTGGTGGTGTTGGTGAGTTGTCTACCATGGACGACGATGTCATTCACGAGGTTCAAAGGAACGAACTAATCTTCGTGACTTCCTCCTCAAGACCCCTTACACGATCACTACTTGAGAAGGTCACCAAGCTGCTCACCCATATAGGGTCTAATTAATAGAGTCTATCCATGTCTACATGCTTATCGGTTTCACTCAGTTATAGTGATCATAACCATCTCGTCTATATATAAATCCGTTTCGTATGCGGTAGAGCATGTATTCACGACTCTATTTTCTAATTAAGATATGTACTATCACATTCATATTGTGATTTGAGCATTTGTCTATTTCATCTAAGCGCGAGTCATGCGCTCTTTACGACACAATACCCGTCCATGGTATGCTTGTACATTTCGCTCGCCATTACGATCTATTTTTAGCTATTTGTCCACCACTCCGTTCATTGGATAAATATGCTGTGATCCAAGATCCACTGCGTCTAAGTCTCTTTTAGTCTCTATAGTTCTAGGCGTCAACTCTATTATGTCTACCCTACAGAAGGATCTCTATTATCCCCTAAGGGATGCTGAGGATAAGGTTCTAACTGAAACTAGAGTTAAGGTCTGGGATAAGAATCCCAAAACTCTAGCTTTCAATGTCGATTCCTTACCCGACCTGAAGGTCTACAAGGCTGATGACAGTTTTCTAAGCGTAGGAAGTCTACTCTTCAGACGTCTATGTGCAGTTCAAGGAGGTTCTGGGTTGAGAGAACTATCGCTACATCATCTACCTTACCTACCTGTAATTTCACCTAAGATCTATAACGACTATGAGACGGCTCTATTTGAAGTTGAACTTATGGACAGTCTATCGGTCAATAAGGTTCTATGGTTATCTATCCCCTATCATCTAAGACAGT